AAGAGGCTCTCTACTCCTGTAAAGATCTACATCCTCAAAAGGTATAAGGTTGCTATGAGTTGGATTCAACTTGGTGGCAGTGGTTTGGTTTGGTTTGGTTTGGATCCAAAACTCAAAGGTACAAAAAGCCATGTTTCATTTTCAAAAAGGAAGGAAAACCTTAATGAATTGGGGAGTCGTTTTAAGTTCTAATGACATTTTTGAGAGGATCCAATAAATATACTGACCCGGGGATTTAACCCTGCTTGCATAGTTCGTATGTCTGTAGGCATAATATATTTCATTAACAGTGTTTCTCCTCTTTCCCCCTCTCATCTTCGCTTCCGTTTGTTTCTGCTGCTGACAACACTTTTCTTCCATCAGCAAATGGTTTGTTTTATGTTTCCTAATGTGTGTGTGTGTGTGTGTGTGTGTGTGTGTGTGTGTGTGTGGTTTCTCACTATACTCATGTCCATTTGTGGCTTTTTCTTCTTCCTGTAATGGAACTCTTAACAGGATATTGATTTCTAAATATTTAAAATGCAATTGGAGAAGCAAAAATAAATTCTGTGGCTTTGCCTTCAAAACTGTCCTCATACAAAAGTGGAAGGGACAGGGCAGGGCAAGGTTGCAGTGCATGCGAGCCTTGTCTCATATTTTGCCCCAGCAGAAGAAAGAAAAAGCCAAATACATATTTCTTTAGAAAGTGAATGAGTGTGTGGCTTTACAATTAGAAAATGGGTCTATCTCTGTGGACACTGAAATAATTGAGACCCATTGTAGTATTTTGTAGGAGGGGGAAGAAAACTGAGTTATAAAGTACCCTTGATGGCCCTGTGGGTTAGACACCTAACCGCAGGTCATTGGTTCAAATCCACCAGTCACTCCGAGAGAGAAAGACAAGGCTGTCTGCTGTCATAAAAATGTACAGTCTAAGAAACCTTATAGAGAGGGGGTCGGGTTTTGGGATTTTTGACTTGCGATCAGGAGCCATTGCTCTTGATTGTCCTGTCAATGTCCCTGTGCCCAGGGGCTCTTCGCACTCTAGGGGACTCACTCCTTGTGGTGGGATTCTGAACACGGCCAGTGCTCTCCTCGGGTGAGAAGGAGCTCTGGCCACCTCTGCTGAACTTCACTTCCCCCGAGGCAGCTGCTCTCTCCCACTCTGATTCATTTCCATTGGATGACCAGTCCCATGCCACTCTTCTATCTGCACGAGCTCTCGGGTTTCATGGAGCTGCCAAGTGGTTATGCTTTTTTCTTTTCTTGCACAATCGTGCATATTGTTTTATGTGAGAAAGGGGAGGAAATGTATCCAAATTATAACTTTTAGAGAAATCAAGTATGTACTTCTTTTACATATTTTAACAGTTTTATTAGCACTTCATTCCCCATCATACAGTTCAGTCATATCAAGAAGAGCAGTACAGTTATCACCACGTTCAATTCTAGAACATATTCTTCCTTGTACTCATTGTTACTCATGTAATTATTTTTTTTCTAATTGTGGCAAAATATACATAACAAAACATTCTCCAATTCCACAACTTCTCCTTGAATAATGTAGTGCTACATTTTTTTCTTTTGAAAAAAAAAAAGTAGTTTTCCCGTGAGTCAGTAGTGCTCCACCAGCCCAGTTTCAACATGTCTCACGAAGCTTTATCATTTGTTAAAAGCATCCAAATGGAATGAACTTTAGTATAAAAATGCTAACTTGTGTGTCAAGAAAATTTAAAGAATATGTAAGGATAGGCTAGGCTAGGCTAGGCCCATCACCTAGATATGGCTCTACCTCTAGTCCGACCACCTCAGCTTTCCCAGACAAGTTTACTCAGTAATAGCCACTGGCCCACTGGCCCACTGGCCCTGGTGGCCACAGGCAAGAGTAGGCCTCTGGGACGGCTTGATATTCCAGCTTGTGTGTTTGAAACATTTCACACATCTCATCGCTGCTGCCTTTTCTTTCCTCCCCTAATCCATAGATTGATTTCCTAAACTCAGTCATAGTGGACCTCCAAAAGAAGAATCAAGACCTCAAGATGAAGGTTGAGATGATGTCAGAGGCAGCCCTCAACGGCAACGCGGAGGACCTGACTTCCTATGACAGGTATGTCCTCCTCTGCCGTACTGATGGGGGCCTTGCTTCTACTTTTGTAAAAACGCCCAGGACCAGAACTGTCGTCGTCGCTGTTAGCTGCCGTCAACATGGCACCCCGTGCACAACAGACACCGCTGCCAGTGCTGCGCCACCCGCAGGAGCAGCTGCAGACTGGATTGTTGTGATCCTCGGGTTTTCAGAGGATGATTTTGGAACTCCCTTTAGTTTGGAAATGCCTGTACAACAGCACCAGAGCACAACACACCGGCCTCCCGCTGACAGATGGATGGCGTCTATGGCTGAGGTGCCGTAACTAGGTTCCCATAAATCTTGCGAGAGAGTAATAGACTACAAATGGATGCTCAGAAGCTTACACACTTGGCCGTAATTACTTTTGTCATGTTTCTTAATTAAAAAAAAAATTTTATTGGGGGCTCTTATGATAATCCATACATCAATTTTATCAAGCACACTTGTACATGTTGCCACCATCATTTTCAAAACATTTTCTTTCTACTTGAGCCCTGTGTCTTAAGTTTTTATTGTGATTTAGATACAAGTTTTGATAGCAAGTTAGTTTTCCACCCAACAATTTGTGCACATTTTGTTTTGAGTCACTGGCTGCAGTCCCTGCAATGTAACGGCACTTCTCCCACTCCCTCCGTTTCAGTTTCCGTTCCTCCTCCTGTGCTGTCCCTTCCAAATGCTGCCCTTCATAATTAGCTCTTTGTTGTTTACTGACTTTTTCATTCTTCCCACGGGGCATGGTCTCTTGAGTCTCTTTGGAGGTATGCTTCTGACTAAACATGCTCATATTTGCAGTGATGACCAGGAGAAGCAGTCCAAGAAGAAGCCTCGCCTTTTCTGTGACATTTGTGACTGCTTTGATCTCCACGACACGGAGGACTGTCCTACCCAGGCACAGATGCCCGAGGACCCCCCCCACTCCACACACCATGGAAGCCGAAGCGAACAGCGACCCTACTGTGATATTTGTGAGGTGTTCGGGCACTGGGCAACCAACTGCAATGACGATGAGACCTTCTGATAAAGCCCGACACTGAGCTGCCCCAGATCGCTCGGTGCCACAGCTTAACGCCAGCATCATGTGGGCAGACTTCCGGAGAACTCATGTTATTTTTTACCGTCCCCATAAGCAAATCTAAGAAAAACTATTTTGGTGTTCAACAAATGCCCCTTTTAGTCTCCCCTTACTATACAATAGAATCAAATAAATGCTTAGCAGGTGAGTTTTCACCTCTAACATTGTCGCCTCAGTTTTTGGAAGTTTGACTAAGACATTGCACCAGATGCCATTACAGGTATTGCTCCTCACAGAACGATCCCTGCCCTGCTCCAGACCTTATTTAAACAACTTTAAATTATGCTGTTACTTTTCCGATTTGCACTAAAATATTTCCAGGCTGCATTTGTATATTTAGATTATTATTATTGTTGTTGTTGTTTGGGTTAAGCTTTGACACTGGAATGAGCTGGGGGAAAGGTGCCATTTGGCATTGCCATGTACTTATGTAAAGGGTTCTCTTCCAAATCAAAGACACAGCTGAGCTCTTTGCACTCCGTGCTGTCAGCAGTGTCTTTACTGCAGACTTCTTGATAATATTCAGGGCTGATTGCAGAATCATGAACCAGATCTGGGAGGGGGGTCCCCAAACTGCTGTGGGCATGATTTATAATCTATATGCTGCACCCACTTACTCTACTGTGGTGTTTGGTTTATTGGTTTTGCATAATTTCTGCTTCTATATATTATATGTATATATTTTTAAAAATCTATATTTTGAGAAAAATACACAATGTGTCTTTCTTTTTCAGATTTTTACCTTTATGAAGGGGGAAAAAAGCAGAAACAAAACACTTACAATGTTCATCAAGACATAACAGACTAGGCCAGAACAGCATCACGTGGCTTGGCAACTCGTTTGTTTGTTTCCATTTTGTTTGTCAGATTCAATAGCTGGGAAGGAGGGTGATCTCCAAAAAAGAACAATTCTTCTTTGTCTAACAGAGATCCCCAGGTGTCAACTAATTCTGTAATAAGCCACTATAAAACATTCAAATTAACCAGTATACAGTCTTCCTTGATGAGTATTTATTCACTGTGTTTTCAGAGGAATGTACGATGAGAAATTCAACATTGATAATTTTGGATTTTCTTATCACAAAAAATAAAATGAAGGACCTCAACCACTAGGCCAGTTTGTCAGCCAATTGGAATCTATTTATGTCTCCATTTGAATGTCTTCGAATCTGTACAAAGTAATAAATTGTATCTTCCATGCTACATGTAAAATAAGAACTTCTATAATTGTACATATTCCTTTGCTGTATTTTCCCCTTCAAAAATGATCAACTGTGTGTTTTGACAAGTGAGTACTAAATACATCTGTAAGCAGTTGGATTTTTTTGGTTATTAACATAGAGGAATTGTTTCACAAAAAGAAAACATGTAAAACAGTATTAAAATTTCAGCAAACAAATGTCCTGTATCAACTTTAATAAACAGTATTCTTTTTCGGCTGTGGTATGAAATGGATATTACTTGTCATAATGGCTTACCTTCAAACAAGCTCAAGAGACTGAACTATGTTATCAGGCACTGACTCCAGGGCAGGGGGTTTGGTTTGGTTGTCTATTAAAAACAGCCTTGCTGGTGCTATGGGTTAAGTACTGGACTGCTAATTTTAAGGTCAAAGTCAGTGGGTCAAATCCAACAGCCATGGAGAAAGATGAGGCTCCTATAAAGATTTAGTCTCAGGAATCCTATATGGACATGGAGTCAGAATTGTGTCTCTGGCAGTGGGTTTTTTGTTTTGGTCACCTGCTAAGTATGTAACAGTATAATGAAAAAGTTGGAAATACTGTTAAGAATGACCAAAATGTGACACACAGGCAACAAACATGCTGTTGGAGAAATGGGACCAGTAGACTTGCTCAATGCCTGACTGCCACAAATATGAAATTTGTTAAAAACAAAACAGTGAATCTCAAAACAAGATAGTATGCATGTAATCCCAAGAACACCTTCCATAAATGGACGCATCTTCCAGGGGAGGTGGACTGAGCACAGTTCAAATATGGTTTCACAGGCGTTGAGAATAATTGTAAGCAAAAAGTGGTTCTGTCATGTTCCTTTTGAGAACAAAACCAATCTTAAGCAAAGCATCATATGCTGCTTGAATATTCTTAAGCATAATCATATTCTTGCTACATCCTTTCTGTTACTTAATACATTAAGCAGAGTAAAAGGAAAAGAAAATGGGCGATTTTACCCAACTCTTGTCTCTGGTAATGCAAACTCACTGCTATCAAGTGGATTAGGAATTATGGTGACCCCTATAAAAGTTTGAGACTATAAATCTTTATGGTAACAGCCTCATCTTTTCCCTTGGAGCAGCTGGTGGACTTGTCACTGACCTCGTGGTTAACTATGCAACCCTAATCCACAGCGCCACTAGGGGTCCTCAGTAATGCCAAGTAAGCACCTTAAGTTTTCTCATGCTCTCCATTCAATCTTAAGGTAAATTCCCATTTGACATGACATGGTCTGCTGAGCTAAACGTTTCTTCTAAAATAACACAGTCTCAGCTAAGCAAACCCCAACCTCTAAGAAGCTTCACGAATTCGCAAACAGAAAAATCTGGCTGAGAATTAAGGTATAGAACTGAAATTCATGTAATAATTACTTGGAAGCCTGAATGCCTTTGACAGGGCCAAGAATCTAAGTGTGGAAGAATGTAAGTAGATTTTTAAAACAGTCTCCATAAGTTCTTTACTTTTTAATTTCTCTGCATCTCCTACATCCCATTACTCCATGGAAATTGTTTAGCAAGTATTTAAAATAGATAAAGGAAGCTATGCACTCAACTATCAGCAGAAGATTGAAGATCGTTACCTTTTATTGATCTTTAAGTGCCAGGCTCCCAAGCCTTTGACGAGAATTACCTGGAACAGTTTAAATCCCCGTTGATCTTTACAACAACCCTATTTACTATTCTATCTCGGATAGTGAAAGTTGAATACTAAGTCCCTATGAAAAGCAGAGCTAAAAACCGGATTCCCTTCACAGTTTTGTGAAATCTTAAACGGAGAGGAAAAAAACCAACCAGCCTTTATTAAGGCAACGTGGAGGCCTCATTGCTAAAACAATAACATTTAGCCTCAGGTTACCATTTTACGGAAAGCAGCCTTGCTGCTAAGAGGGAGCTTGTCTTCAAACCGACGCCTCAGCGCCCGGGGCTGAAGCAGCGTCGGGATTGCTGGGCTGCACCCCCAGAACGCGAGAAGTAGGACAGGAAGACACTGGAGCCGAAAACCGACGAGCAGAGCCGAGCCCCTTCCGGCTTCCGGGATTGGCCGAGCGGCAGCGGCTCCGGTCACGTGGAGGGGGCGTCACGTGATCGTCTCCGTCGGCTTCCCGTCGGGTGGAAGCGGAGGTTGTGGGACTCGGGGGAGAGAAGGGGCGCCGGGCAAGATGGCCGCGCACCTGTCTTACGGGCGAGTGAACTTGAACGTCCTGCGCGAGGCGGTGCGTCGCGAGCTGCGCGAGTTCCTGGACAAGTGCGCGGGGAGCAAGGTGAGGGGCGCGCCCGCCCGACTTCCCGGGGCCGCGACCAGGCGGGAGAGGGGCGAGCTGGCGGAGCCGCGGGCTCCCAGCCTCGCGGTTGTTTTTTTGGGTTTGTTCTTTTTTTTTTTAATTAAATCATCATTTTATTAGGGGCTCATACAACTCATCACAGTCTGTACATACGTCATTTGTGTCCAGCGCCTTAGTACATATGTTGACCTCATCATTCTCACAACACCTGCTTTCCACATGAACCCTTGGTGTCAACCCATTTTTCCTCCTCCCTCCCCCTCCCCCCTCCCCCTGAACCCTTGATAATTTATAAATCATTATTATTTATCATATCTTTGGGTTTGTTCTTTGGGCTGCATAAGAAACCACTCCCAGCTGTGCGTGGTCTAATTTGCGACTGGAGTGCACCAGCTGCTGAGGGATTCAGCCTTGTTCCACCTTCTCCCCCAAATCATAGCGCTGGGGGAGAGGGAAACTCGGTTGCTTTGTTTGAACCCAAGCTTGCAGCCAGTGCGTCAGCCCGCTGGGGTGAGTGGCTTCCTCTTTTTCACCGACCCTCCACTTGACCGTGCATGGTGACCTCCAGAGGCTGGTCCCTCACTCTAGCATGATCAAAGGCCCTGAAACCAAGCCTCGCCATTCTTTCTTCTAAGCATTCTGGTTGTACTTCTCCCGAGACTGATTGGTTTACTCTTTTGCCATATATGGCATTAAATGTTCTATGCTAACACCATGATGAAAAGGTATCAATTCTTCAGCGTTCCCTTATTACCCACCATTCACATGCATGTGACTTGAATTGACGCCATGTCCATTCTGGTCCATAGCAACCCTATGTAGAACAGAGTAGGGTGCCTCTTGGGGTTCCCAAGCCTGCAAATCTTTATAGGCGCAGAAAGCTGCATCTTTCTTCCTCAGAATGGCTGGGGCCTTTCAAACTACTGACCTTGCAATCAGCAGCCCAAATGCATATAAAGTGTTTGCAAATACCATGGCTTAGGTTAGGTTACCATGGCTCAGTCCTCAAGAGTGACATCTTTGCTTTTTAACACTTGAACAAGGTCGTTTGCAGCAGATTGACACTGAATATTTAAGCTCAAAAAATGACAGTGACATGGTCATAAGATCAGCAGGTTGTATCAGTGTATTAACAACGCTGTACCCTTGTTCTAAGGAGCCCTGTTGGTGCAATGGTTACACATTAGGCTGCAAACTACTCCTGTAAAGAATTAGCCTCTGAAACTCAGGGCAGCTCTACCCTGTCCTATGTCACTGTGAGTCAGAATTGACTCGATGGCAGTGAGTTTCGTTTTTGGCTTCTCCTTGCTGTGATATTGTACGACAGCTTTTCAAAGTGCTAACTACAGTAGAGTCAGCTGGGCAAAGCGTGCAAGGGCTCTCTATTCCCTTCCTTCTTGTGATGAGAGTGTACACAGTAGTTGCCAGTTTGTTGTTGTACAGGCAACTCGGTAGCATTGATGACAGTCTCGCGTTGGGCAAGCTGTATCACTGTCCTTCTCCAAAACATCTCAGCACCTTTACCAGAAACTCGGTGCTTCCTAAACAAAACTTCCCCTGCCCTGACACAGTCCTGGCAACCACTGATAATCTCTGGTTTCTGTGTGTCTGCTTGTGTCCTACAACTGAGCTCATTTAGAAGTTGGCCCGGTAGGACTGCCAAACATAATGTTTTCAAGAACCATCCACGTGGTATCAGGCATCCAGGCTACATTTCCTTTTACGGCTGAACCATACTCCATGGTGTGCGTGGACCACATCTGCCATTGGACGGGCATTTCGATAGGATGTGTGCTAGAGTGAACTTCGCTCTCTGGTTTCTGTTGGTATTTCTGGGGGTAGCAGCACTGCATCTGCTGGGTCATGGCAATTCTCTGTTTGGCTTTTTGAGAATCACTAGCCGTTGTCTGTGGCGGCGACTCCGTGTTACATCCCACCGCCAGTGGATGACGATGGTTCTTGTGTCTTGCCAACCTCGCCCAAACGTCTTGTTTTCTGTGTTTGGTCAGCACCATGGGTATGAAGTGATACATCACATTGTATTTTTTTGTTGCTTAAAGCACTGAGCTAGTCACTGAAGGGTCCGTGCTTCAAACCCACCAGTCACTCGCTGGAAGAGAGATGCGGCAGCCAGCTTCCACTAAGGTTTAATGCCTAGGAACCCCGATGGGGCAGGTCTACTCTGCCCTGTAGGGCACTGTGAGCTGGAATCAACTTGATAGCAACAGTTTTGTTGTTGTTTTTAATGACTAATTATGGGAAATTAACACTGAGGGAAACATGACTAGGACTATATTCCCTAACTTATAACAGAGGGAATCTGGAAAGCTAATATTCCACAGTAGGAAAGATACCACTTTGGTAAGTTAAAGTCCAAAGACATTATCCTGGTTTAAATATCATTCCCACAGATTCTCCCCTAACAGCTCTGCTGCCTTAAAGTAAGCACATGGTTGATTCTGTCTCCCTATGGAAGCAGATATTCTATTGTCGTCTCCTGCTGTGGCACTGAGTTAGTTAATTGTGCCAGCCTGGCCGATAATCACATGTGGGGCTGGTTGAAAGGCGGAGGGATAAATGGGTGGTGAAGCCTCACCTTTCTAGTTCTCGGGTCTCTTGTTTTGTGATGGTTGCACCGGGTGCAGCTGCCTTAGCAGTTCCCTGCTTCAGCTTGCAAGATTGACTTCCTACAAGACATCACCAAGGAGAAGCTACATGGACCTATCCCGATGCAACCCTGGGTGCTGGAGCAGCTGTTTGGAGACCCCTGCTAGTGCTGAGATGCTTGTTCGTTCATGGACTCAGCTTTCCTCCTGCAGTCGGCATCATTGCCTCTGTTTTGTGAGGTGGAGGACTTTGTGGACTGGTGTTGGGTTAATGGGTTAATGTTGGACTTGTGGGCTTGGGCAGCATTGGGTTGGGATGTTTTCGTGATGCACCTTTTCTTTACATAAAATTCTCTCTTATGTATGAGTTGCTGTGGATTTGTTTCTCCAAAATACCCAGACTAATACAGGCACCCATCCCCCTCATGCCTTCCCTCAGTGCAGGTACCAGGTTTCCTCACCTGTGAGCTCGGACTTTACTGTGGTTACCGCCCACCTTGTGACGTTTGTAACTACGGAATATGCGCGTGTTGTGGCTACCTACAAATATCCCAAGACAGTAAAGACATGCCCTCTCCTCCTCCTCCCCAGTCCTCCCACCTCCACATGGACCACCAAGAGGGGCCGAGGGGAGCATGCTACCATGGAATGTGTCTGACTCCTTTATTTTATCCTCTCTCCTGTCTTCCGCGACTTTCCTATGATCTTTATATTATATGTTAGAGCTGTACAATTGCGCCTACAGACCCGTCAGTTGCCAGAGGCTGGTTTACTCTGACAACTAATGATGCTGAGCACCTTTTCACGTGCTTGTTGGCCATTTGGGTATCCGTTTGAGTTAAGTGCCCGAGTTTGGGGCTATCTTTTTGTTGGCTTGTTTGTAGTTCTCCGTTGTTTAATACCACTGGATGTTGTTCTACAATTATCTCCATAAACATTTCCACTATGGAAAGAGAAACGATAGTGACGTTCGACATGGGGAGTCTGCAGAGGGTACAGCACAGTGACCTGTGTCTGTCTGCCACTCCCGCTGTGTGCCCTTGGGCCCATTAATGCACCTGAGCCATTCTTACCACCTCCCGGTGCTAACTGAGAGGTTCGAATCCATCCAGAGTGACCACGGGAAAAGCATCTCGCTGTCTACTTCCCCAAGATCAGCGGTTGAAACTCTGCGGGGCACAGTCCTGCTCAGACACACCCGTATCCACGAGCCAGAATCCGTTCAACGCCAGCTGGGTGTTTCAGATACCTAGATCAGAGGCTTTACTTCGTACATAATTGAATTATACTTAGGCACTTAGGAGTGAAAAACCATAGAAATTGCCATGGTGACTTCATATTTTTCAGTCTTAGTACTTATTCCCATGATACATATACACCACTAGCTATTGCTTTCTAGTTCCTTCTCCCCCTCCCCACCCAGGAATTAACTCTTAACTTTCCCATAACCAGCAGTACCGTGCAGCTGATGTTATTTTTCTTTGGTCTTTCAAGCTGTCAGTGTGGTCACAAAACTTGTTAGATTCAAAAACCAAGGCCACCACCAGAGCGTCAATTCCAACACCCAGCCACCACTCTCTAAGGTCTTCAAGACTGCATGTTTATAGGAGCAGACAGCCTTGACTTTCTCCCAGGGAGCAGCTGGTGGTTTTTGGTTTTTTTTTTTGGCTGGTGGTTTTTGAACCACCCACCGTGCAGTTGGCAGCTCAGCACTCCTTAGAAGTCTGGGTAATTCATAGTAGGAGGCAAGTATCTGCGCTGTGTGTGGGACGCCCGTTGTCTGCTGGCTTCGTCTCACTACTCCTCGCTCATTGCAGTAAGAGACTGTCTCTCTCCCCCTGTAGGCAATTGTGTGGGATGAGTACCTAACTGGACCCTTCGGCCTGATTGCCCAGTACTCCCTGCTCAAGGTAAGTGAGCTGTCGGGGGCACTAGTAAGGCCCTAACATCTCGACGATCGTCCCCAGGTTTGTGTTGTGCTCCATAGCCATTGATGCTAGTGCTTTGTGGGGACCTGACCGTCCTGAGCCTAGTTTGGGGGAATCACTAGTACTCCATTGAGTGGTAGCTGCTCAGTGCTGGAGAGAGTAGAGGCCGTTGAATTTGGATGCAATAGCAGTGGCTTTCTCCTGATGCTTAGTGAGGGGAATCTAATGTGATGAGAAAGTGTTAGGGCCCAGGGGGGTGTCTCGGTCTTGGTCTGGGAGTGAAGTAAACTCCTGGGCTCTGTTCACCTGTCATGCCCGTGTGTCCCCAGGAACACGAAGTGGAGAAAATGTTCACCCTTAAGGGGAGCCGTTTGCCGGCAGCCGATGTCAAGAACATCATCTTCTTCGTCAGGCCCAGGCTGGAGTTGATGGACATAATCGCAGAAAACGTGCTCAGGTATCTTCCCGTCTTCCTTTGGGTCCTGGTGAAGGTAGCCTGCCCTTTGCACACCAGTGCACTGGAAGGCAGCCTTGTGGGAAACCGGGACAAGAAGGGAAGACCTGAGAAGTCGAGCTGCTGGCTGGGCTTGGGGGGCGGGGGGTGGGGTTGTTATCATATACAACCCCATCCTTTCAGGAGGGCGACAAGTGGACCCCCATCAGTAGAAACAAATTGCTCGGGCGCCCCCGTGTGCATGGGAGTGGCTTTGGGCAGCCGTGACCTTGCAGAGCGATTGCAGGATCTTCTTCCCGGGGGCAGCTGGGGCGCAGACCACCAACTCTCTTTTTCCTTTAACAGTTTCATTCTCACATCATCACATCATACCATTCAGCAATTCAGTCATCACATGAAGAGTCACACAGTTATCATCACAGTCACTTAGAGAACAATTTTCTTCTGTGTACTCATTGTTAGTCATCTAATTATTTTTTCTAATTTTGGCCAAAAATATACACAACACAACACTCTCCAATTCCACAACTTCTGCATGTATAATTCAGTGCCGTTGATTATCCTCTTTGTGTTTGTTTTTTTAATCGTTTTATTAGGGGCTCATACAACTCTTACCACAATCCATACATACATCGATTGTGTAAAGCACATTTGTACATTCATCACCCTCATCATTCTCTAAACATCCGCTCTCCACCCAAGCCCCTGGCAGCAGCTCATTTTTTCCCCTCCCTCCCCGCTCTCCCCTCCCTCGTGAACCCTTGATAATTTACAAACTATTATTTTGTCATACTCCTTGTGTTTTACAACCATTATTGATATCCTTTTCCAAATTATTCCACCACGATTAACATAAACTCAATAACGCATTCTTCTTCACTCAAGGTAACCGTTGGTCAAATTTGGTTTGTTTTTTAGTTGAAACAGTATCCATGTATCATAAACTTCCACGGTTAAATCACTTTTTAAAAGAGTTGTGTATACAGACCACCAACTTTCTTATCGGTCACCAAGCACCCAAATGTTTGCGCACCCAGACACTCCGAGACAGAAAAGACAAAACAGGCGAGCAGAAAACTTAGGGTGTTTATTATTTTAGGGTGTTGGACTACGCCACTTCCCACTGTCCTTGAGTCAATTTTGACTCACAGCGAGGGTTTCCCAACCTGTAAATATTTACAGGAGCAGTCAGCCTCTTCTTCCTCCCTTGGAGTGGCTGGTGGGTTTGAACTGCCAACCTTGTTGTTAGCACCAGGGTTTCTTTGTTGAATATATGGTGCTTGAAATGTCATAAGCAGAATTTGAAAGGATTAAGATGTAAATTAGCACCATCAAGTCTGTAGAGTGGTGGTTCTCAACCTTCCTAATGCCGCGACCCTTTAATACAGTTCCTCATGTTGTGGTGACCTCCCCACCAACCATAATATTGTTTTTGTTGCTACTTCATCACTGTCATTTTGCTACTGTGATGAAGCGGGTGACCCTTGCGAAAGGGTCTTTCGACCCCCCCAAAGGTTGAGAACCACTGCTGTAGAGGGAGGGGCTCGCAGCGCAGTCAGTGTTCTGTGGGACAGTAGACAGTTCTGGCCCCTGAAACGGTATGGGCATGCATGGGCTGTCTGGGGGTGACCATTGTCAAAGGGAGTAGAGTCAGGGGTGGAGGGTGATCTCTCCTTTTAACATTAGGCTCCAGGTTGCTGCCGTGGTCTCGACAAAGAGCTGTTTGTTTTCAACACGCCACAGCGGTCCTGCCTCAGTGATCGTGAACCTGAGCTGGCTGGTGCTTTGGGCATCCTCAGTCATGTAGGAGAAGGGCTGAGAGAGTCCTTTGAATCATTGCTGCTTTCCTGCTCCCCAAAAAACCCCCAGCCGTGGGAGCAGCTGGAATGGTTGGGTCTGATAGTCAGTAATGGTACGTTCACCTCACCAGCATTGCGTAGCACCTGCCACGTGCTGCGAAGAGGGCTGGCCTGGACGTAACATACACACAGTCCTCTCCAACTCTGAAGGAGCCCCCCAGCTAATGAACATCCCTTTCTTTGTAGCGAAGACCGACGTGGCCCATCGAGAGATTTCCACATCCTGTTTGTGCCGCGCCGCAGCTTACTGTGTGAACAGCGGCTGAAAGATCTCGGTGTCCTGGGATCCTTTATCCATCGGGAGGAGTACAGCCTTGATCTCATCCCCTTTGATGGCGACCTCCTGTCCATGGAATCGGAGGGCGCGTTCAAAGTAAGCCTTGCGTGCCCTGGTCGACTTCAGACTGTAGTGTGTGGCCCGTCTGTGAGCGTGAGATACTGGCGCCATACGAGGGGCCTTCAAAAAGTGGGAAAATTGAATTAAAAAATAATAGGATTTTCCCAAGGACTTCTCTTTAACTTTTGTCTGTGAGTTAGGTGAATGTTTATAGAGCAGATCAGCAGCTTCACATTCAACAATACGTACCCATTTAATGTCATCTCATTTGTTGTGATCTTCCCAAAGTAACATCACTTACCCCGCTTCCTCCCTGTGCTTCCTGCTCCCGTCTCTCCGTTTCTCCTCCGCTCCTGTCCTTTCTGAGCTTGGTCCTTGAGTCAGAGCTGCCCTGGTGACCTAAAGTGTACACACCTCCTAGCCCCCACTAGTGCTAGTGTTCCTGTACAGACTTCCCCGTTGTTTGGCTGGAAAGCGAGCCCTGGGGGATGAGTTCTGTTTTAGACCTAGAGGGTGACTGACGAAAGGATTCCGCCACCTGTGGGTGACCAGTAAGTCTGCTCTCGCTCATGTTTTTGATGTTGCTCCACAGTTTCTGCAGCACCTTCTAATGTGGTCCCTTCTGGAGCAGCTGGTCATGGTGGCTGGGCGCCCTCTCCTTCTTAGGGTCTCAGGGTTGTAGAGACTAATGTTCTCATTCCACCAGCTTTTGGAAGCCCCTTTGTGGTATTTGAATTGAGTTTCCATGATTCCAAGTGAAGCTGAGCCGCTTTTCATATGTTTACTGATGTTTAAAGTGTTCTCTTCAGCAAACTACTTGATTTTCTTTGCCTGTTGTTTTTTTTTCTTTGAAGAATTCTTTCTGTGTTCTGGACATTGTTGGTGATGGTGGTATTAGAGACTAGAGTTGGTTTCAGTGTATCGCAACCCTGTGTATCAAGGTAGAACTTCCCCTGAAGCATTTCTAGGCTGTAATCTTTATGGGAGCAACTCGGACACAATTTCTTTAAACAGACACAGGATTTGCAACGTGTATTTTCGCCCCTCGTGTGAGTTGTCTCTTAATTTTTCCTGATATTGCCCTTTGAGTCATGAAAGTTTTAAATTTTGTTGATGTGCAATTTATATAAAATTCCTTCTTCCCCTTCTGTTTTTTGTTTTGGTTGGACATCTGAGAACGCATTGCCCAAGCTAAGGTTGTAAAGGCTTACTCGTGCTTTCTTCTTTTTTTCATGCTTTCTTCTAAGAGTTTTGCAGTTTTGACTTTAACAGGTCTGTGATCCTTTTTGAGTTAGCTTTTGTGTGTGGAGTGAGGTTGGGATCCGACTTCATTCCTTCACACGTGGGTATCTAGTGTCCTAGCACTATTCACTGGGAGGACTGTCTTTTCCTCATTGAATTGTCTTGGCATCCTTGTGGAAAAATCAGGTAGCCATATATGGAAGGATATCTTTTTAGACTCTCAATTCTGTTACAGGTAACAGTTACTGATAGGTGTGTGTCTGTTCTTATGCCTAAGCATGTCACTGATTACTCTATCTCCTTAGTAAGTATTGAAATTGATACGTGTGAGTTCCCCAAAGAAAAGTATCTAAATGCATTGATTTGTTGTCTTCCGGTTTGTGCTTAGTAAATACTTCTCTAACCTGAAGACACAGTGCTGCTGTTCACTGCCCTTGAGTTGGCCCGACAAACAATAGCTGGAGAGTTCTTGGGAGCTTCATGGGGAAAACAGTTCCCTGTCTTCCCATTTTCTTTTTCTCAGGTTTTTGGAAGCCCCTTGACATGCCTGAGCCCACCGTTGCTGCCACCGTGTCATTCGATCTCATCAAGGGAGGGTCGTCCTCTTTTACCCTGACCTGCTGCTTGACCACAATAGTGGGTCAAGTGTTGGCCTGCTAACCCCAAGGTCTGCCGATTGAAACCACCGGTCACTCTGCGGGGAAAGATGCAGCTGCCCGCTCCTATACAGACTCACAGTCTCAAAACTGCGAGGGGACAGTCCACTCTGTCCTCTGGGTGACCGTGAATCCGAGTTGTCTTGACACCCGTGCATTTCTCTGTGCTGCTTTACCAAACGAGATGTCCTCCAGGGACTTCTCTCTCCTCGTGACAGATGAAGGCTCGGCAGCTTCGTTTCTGTCCTTCTTCCCAGACCATTGTTTGTCCTTCTGGTGATCCAAGGGATCAATTCTTCTTGGGTCTCTCTTAGTCATTGTCTGTCTTTGGGACTCCTTTGTTTTAAAAAATTTTTGTGTTGTAACTGTGGTTTCTTGATACCATAGGCCACATTCACTGACAGATTTCTACCCCAACATTTTGTGTGAATAAATATTTTAGATGCAGAGGTTCAAAGAATTACTTAGTGAGCATCCAACACTGAGATCATCACGTTAACATTTTGCTGCCCTTGCTCAGTGTAGCTGTGGTAGTGATGTGGGTTAAGCACTGGGAAGCTAGCCACAAGGTCGGCCGTTCACACCTACCAGTCGCTCTCTGGGAGAATGATCAGGCTGTCTTCTCCCGTGCAGATATCCGGTTTCGGAAATCCTCTGAATTGTAATCAACTGGTTGGCAGTAGGTTGGCTTTGGTTCTGTTTCTGTGATGGTGCACTTTTATATAACTAACTCACATCCTCGTCATTCATGGGAATTGGTGGTGGCAGAGGAAAACTTGTCAGGGCATGGCAGAACCCATCTGGAAGAGGGACGTCCCTCGGCACCTTACAGATCTCCTGTAGAGAAACAGCCTTCTTTTCTGCTGGGAATCCTGGGTCCGCAGCTTTGCACACTTGCTGAAGGTCGCCCTTAGAAATCAAGAATTATGCCCGAATGGGGAAGGGAGGTGCTCCAACGGGTAATGTTCATCACAGCCCCGGTTTCTGATGGCTTTGAGGTCATTCTCCTGCTGTGTGTGTGTGTGAGATCGATAGGTGTGCTTAAAGCTTGATTCTGGAGGAAGAAGAGTTGAGGGCCAGTGAACAAGAGAACAGATGCAGGGGCTGCATTAGTGGCCTCGGACATAAGCACGATTGGGGGATGGCGCCGGGCCTGGACTTGTCAGCACCTGCCAGCAGCAGCAGCAGTACATGCCTCGCTTCACTTTCTGCCAGTGCGGTAGCTCTGTGTGCACATTCACCCATTGAGCCACCCTTCTCCACAGCCTTTTCCAAATGATGTGTTCACCGTCACGTTACCAAACTCACCCCCCTCCCCATCCCCTGCAGCGCTCTTTGTTTTTGGTTGTTTGTTTAATAAATCATTTTATTGGGGGCTCTTACAACAGTCCATACATCAATTGTATCAAGCACATTTGTACATATGTTCCCATCATCATTTCCAAAACATTTTCTTCCTGCTTGAGCCCTTGGTATCAGCTCCTCTTTTTTCCCTGCCACCCTCGTGAACCCTTGATAATTTATAAATTATTTTTATTTTCATATTTACACCATCTGCTGTCTTCCTTCACCCACATTTCTGTTACTCATCCCCTTGGGGATGGGGGTTGTACGTCATTCATTACAATCAGTTCCCCCTTTCTCTACCGTCTCCCTCCACCTTCCCCCTACCCCCATGGTAACACTACTCCCATTACTGTTCTTGAGGAGTTTATCGAAAGCTCTTATCTTTACCAGTGTACATGTTCCGGTATAGTCTGATTTGTAAGGTTGAACTGGGATCATGCTAGTGTGGGGGTAGGAAGCTTTAAAGAACTAGAGGATTGTTATGTGTTTCATTGGTGCTATCCTACACCCTGGCTGACTGTCCCTTCCTTGTGAACCTTCTGTGAGGGGATATCAAATTGTCTGTAGATGGGTTTTGGGTCACCAACCCCCCTCATTTACATCGATATATTTGTTTGTTTGGGGTCTTCTGATACCTGATCCTGTCGACACCTTGTGATCACACATGCTGATATGCTGCTTCCATGTGGGCCCTGTTGCTTCCCTGCTAGATGGCCGCTTGTTTAACATCAAGCCTTTAAGACCCCAGACGCTATATCTTGTAATAGCCGGGCACCATCAGCTTTCTTCACCACCTTTGTTTATGCACCCATTTTGTCTTCAGTGATTGTGTCTGGAAGGCGAGCATCACAGAATGCCAGGTTATTAGACAGTGTTCTTGCGTTGAGGGAGGACTTGAGTAGAGGCCCAGTGTCTGTCTGAGCAGCACTCTGTGTGTCCTGCACAGTGATTGTCCGTTAAAAGAACGTAGTCTTTTCTAATTGGGCTGAACTGTTACGTGGTTGAAAGCTGACTTCACTGACAGGGTAAGTTCAAGGTGTGATGATGTCCTCAAGGTAATCACGTAGCTGGATGGTTCTCTGTGCAGTTTTCAGTGGCGTGGTCAGCATCGGGAAGCTCCTCTAGCCCAACCATGCCTGCAGTGTGAACTAGACCCCCCTGCCTCCCTCCTATGCGCCGTGTGGAATCCTTCTTGGCTAGAGGCCCAGCAGCAATGTGGAGTCTCGGCAGCCTCATTTGTATACCAGAATCTGCCTGGGTAAAACCCACTGCAAACTACAGCTGACCTCTATGTGGCAGGGTGGGGCCTGAAGGGTGCCAACTTCTCCGTGTGACTCCTAGTGGCTCCAGGACAGCACGGGTTTGGACTGCCAGGGCCCCTCGCAGGTGGATGGCTTTCCAGTTGCTGCAGTGGCGGGTCCATATGCTAGCCATGTCCCCATGAGCTTGGGAGGATGGAAGGGCTTGCAGTGCCGGGAGAGGTCAACTGCTCACACAGAGATGCTTGGCGCCTCAGTTCATTTTCAGAGGACTACTCACTGCAATAGCAGCTGTGGAGAAGCCCCCGTGTTTGTGGGTGCATGTGGCTGGAACCCGTGTTATTCAAGTGACCAAGAATTTTCTGTTCTGGGGTGGAGTGATCCGGGGTGGGGCGCGGGGGTGTTCACAGAAACAAGGGCAGCGTCAGGGTAGTGGGCGTTGGCATCGGTCTCCCCTGGTTCACACTGGGCATCAGGAATGAGGCCCGCTCCCCAGTGTGAATAGTTGGTACTCAGCATAGCCAGTTGAGAACTGATGAACTGAGCTGGCCTAAAGGATGAATCCTTCCTCCAGAGCCCGCGGCTTGCCCTGGGAGAGTCCGTGGGCCCTGATGGCAGAGCTGTGACCTAGAAGACAGCCGTGTGCAGGCACCCTGGGGCGCCTCTGCCTGCTGGCCTCCTGGTAACCGCTCCTCCCTCCTTGCAGGAGTGCTACCTGGAGAGCGACCAGACGAGCCTGTACCACGCGGCAAAGGGGCTGATGACCCTGCAGGCGCTGTACGGGACCATCCCCCAAATCTTCGGGAAAGGAGAGTGTGCACGGGTGAGAACAGGCGGCTTCTGGGTCTGAAGGAAGGAAGGTCCCCTTGTCCCCCTAAAGGGCGGCGGGAGTGGGAAGCCACTTGTCAGCTGGCAGCTGATTGAATGGCTCATTGGGAAACGGCAGGTGTTGGACTGGGTGACCAGCAGCAAACGCTTCCCAGGAGCAGCTGCTTCCGTTTTCTTCGCACTGTCCCTCGGCGTTTCTCCTTTTGTTCCGTCTTTAGCTGCGTTGTAAAAAATGGCCATTCTCAAGAGAGCCACCCCCTTCCCCCAATGTTTTCGTTCCCAGCAAGTGGCCAATATGATGCTCAGGATGAAGAGGGAGTTTACAGGGAGCCAGAACTCAGTATTCCCCGTGTTCGATAACCTCCTGCTGCTCGACCGCAACGTGGACTTGCTGACGCCGCTAGCCACCCAGCTCACGTATGAAGGGCTCATTGACGAGATCTATGGCATCCAGAACAGTAAGCAGAGTGACCCCTGCCTTTGCTGGTGCGCGTGTGCTCGGGCCCCTGGCTTTGGAGGCCGCCGGCCTTACCCTGCAGGAGCTGGCCTGAATTTGACCCTCGGGCCATTGGTTTTTGGTTCTGGGTCTTGAGTGCCCATCCAACACTGGGAACTGTAACCCACAGTAAGAAGTTCATAACCCAGCCATGCCACCACCACTCACCCACCCCACACGTGTGCGTGCGACACACACCTTCTGGGGGAGGGATAGTGAACTTCAGGTTCATGTGTCACGGAAAAAAGTTTTTGCACAATTATTCTGCCATTTCGCTTCCAGTTTTCACAGTGTGCCGGCTTTTTCGGTATTTCTGTTCTGTGTGCTCTGTTTCTGTTGACCTAGCTTCCTTGCCTCTCCTTGCCTTCTTCTCGGGGCTTCTGGGCACCTGTTGACTGGCCTCGCCTCGCTGCTTGCTTAAGGGAGCACGTGGCTCATGCTGTGGCTGCGCCACCTTCCAGTCTCGTCAGACAAGCAAGAGAGCCACTGCTTCCCCGCGGCCTTGCCAACACTTGTTATTTTCCTTTTCTTTAGATGCTCATCGAGTGTCATTTGATTGACATGTCCCTAGTAACCGAGGGCAGAACTACATCATCCGTAGACGTGAAGGTGGCAAGACACCGCTCGTGTCCTTTGTACACGTTCCTGGGAGGGACCTTTCCTGGGGAAGGGAGGGCATCATGCTGGACTGGAGAGTCCGTGCAGAAGAAGAAGGGTCCTGAGGGGAGTGCAGATTGACACCGCAGCTGCAACAGTGGCTCAAGTAACAGTGCCGATGTGAGCACGGCGCAGGCGCGGGCAGTCTCTCGCTCTACTGTGCCTAGGGCCGCCGAGAGTCCAGAACCGCCTTGATGGCACCTAGCGGCAATAAAAACAAGTACCGAACGATGCTGAGTGACTTTTCATATGCTTATTGACCATCTGCATAGCTTCTTGGGAGAGATGTCTGTGCAAGTCCTTTGCCCGCTATGAAACTGGCTTTCCTTTTTGACTGTTGAGCTGTAATATCTTTTTCTTTATTCTGGTTGGTGATTTGCAAGTATTTCCTCACATTCTGTAGCTGTCTTTCCACTTTCTTGATAGTGTCCTTTGAAGCACACACAGTTTTCATTTCAGTGATTCCGATTTGTCTGTTTCTTTTGTTGAAACTAGAGTTTTATTATGGAGCCTTGATGGTGTAGTGGTTGTACATGGCGCTGTAATCCACAGGGTCGGCAGTTCAAAGCCACCAGTAGCTCCAAGGGAGAAAGACTGGACTTTCTACGCCCGTAAACCGTTGCAGTCTCCGAAATCCACAGGGTGTCGGTACGAGTCAGCATTGACTCAATGGCAGTGGGTTAGTGAGAGTTTTATTAAAGGAACAGCACTTACCCAACTTCAGGTGATGCGCTCAGCACCTCCCTCCCTCTCTTCGTTGCTGCTGTGTTGCATTTTACTGATTTATTTTTGCTTTTTATTTTGAATGCGATTGCAGTCCACCAGATTATTTCATGATACACTAATGGAACATGGCCTAGAGTTACAAAATGCTAGAAGGCAGTGGGCATTCTTACAGTTCTCTTAATAAGTCTTGAAATCAGGCATCTCTATACTGCTGGAGTCCTGTTGGTGCTGTGGCATTGGGCTGCTATACTGCCAGGTTAGCGGTTCAAACCCACCAGCCATGCTGAGGGAGAAAGGTGAGGCCGTCTGCTCTTGGGAAGATTTGCAGTCTCAGAAGCCCTCTGTGGGGTCGCTGTGAGTCAGAATCAAGGAGGTGGTGGTGAGTTTGGTTTGGGTCTTGATCCACCCAGGAAATTGCTGTTGTTAGCCGTTGTCGAGTTGTATGAATTAAATGCTGCCTAGCCTGGCACTGTCCCCAGTGCCCCACTGTCAGTCGCTGATGTGACCCTTGTGACCTGTGAGGTTTTGCTGAGCGATTCTTCAGAAGTAGCCCGCCGGGCCTTTCTTCCTCTGTAAAGAGAGAGTGCTGACAGTGACGTGGCCTAGGCACTTTGCCTACTGTCCTTTGACCCAGGCACAACCCAAAGTTCAGTGCCCTCCTGCACCGTTCTGGGCGTTATTTTGCCAACCCCCTGTCCGCACGGGCCCCACTCCCGAGCTGGAGACCCCATTCTGCATCTGAGCTCCCTCAGTCATCCCCGAAGGAACTTTGTTCCCACCCACTGTCGTCCAGGTTACGTGAAGTTGCCACCAGAGAAATTCGCGCCCAAGAAGCAGGGCGAGAGCGGGAAGGATCTGCCCACAGAAGCCAAGAAGCTGCAGCTGAACTCGGCAGAGGAGCTGTACGCCGAGATCCGGGATAAGAACTTCAACGCCGTGGGCTCCGTGCTGAGCAAGAAAGCCAAGGTCATCTCAGCGGCCTTTGAGGTGAGACATGTGGGGTCGTCACAAACTGGGCTCCCCCCAACCCCTGCACATGCACACACACACCCGCCCACGGGTCCCAGAAGAGGAAGGCAGGAGCACCCCGACAGGGTGGGACTGCTCCTGGGAGTTTCCAAGCCTGTAAACTTTGGCGGGAGGAGAACGCCTTGTCTCGCTCCTGCAGAGCGCCTGGTGGTTTCAAACTGCTGACCTTGCAGTTAGCAGCTCAACTGGTAACCATGTGGCCACCAGGGCTCCTAGCTACACATGCGGGGCCCTCTCAAACAGGCCTGGTGGTCTGAGGGAAACTCGGGCTAGGGAACACAGGACAGCGGCCGGTGGTGATGAAGCCGCAGCCCCAGCAGGGCAGCTTCCCACCAGTGCCTTCCTTCTCACGGCCTGCCCCTCCCGTGTACCCCTCGGTAAGCTCATCCCCAAAATAGGAGTGTTCTGTCCAGGGATAAGCTAAGGAGATTTCCTTCCTTGGAAACACATGGAGGAGGTTTTGAAAACATGGAGTCTAAGCGGTCTTAAGAGTCATCTTTGTTAGGGGGCGTTGCCTATGGAGTGACTTTTGGCTGGGTTCATCAAATGCCTTGCCCCCTCCCCCCACAAAAAAACCCAAAAAGGTTTTTCACATAATTGTTCTTAGGGGCCGTCCAGCCCTGACTCACACAGGGCCCGCCTTGTGCCCCACTTGCGGTCATTGCTGGGCTGAGCCCGTTGTTGCAGCCATTCTGTCGGTCTGTCTGGTAGCAAGCCCTTGTTTCTGCTGACCTACTCTGCCAAGCCTGGTGTCCTCTTCTAGGGACGGGGCCCTTTCTACCACCTGCTTGAACCCCCTTCATCTGCGTGATGTCAGGGCTGGGTTTGGCCAGGCTCATTTCTTTCCAGCCTTCCTTTCACGTTAAGCCCACTGCCATCGAGTTGGTGCCAAGTCCTCTCGAGCCAAGAGGACAGGATAGAGGTGCCCTGTGGGATTTCCGAGGCTTTCGATTTTTGAGGAAGCAGCCTGCCTGGTGTTTCTTCCTCGGAGCAGCTGGTGGGCTCGAACCACCAACCCGCTGGTTAGCAGCCACTACCGAGCCCACTATGCCACCAGGGCTCCTTTCCTTTCCACTAACACTTGGAAGGTACATGCCCTTGAGCAGTGCAAGCAGCAGTGGCTTCCCTGCCCAGCGGCTCTGTGCCTGGCCCATTGCAGGAGCGGCACAATGCCAAGACGGTCGGGGAGATCAAGCAGTTCGTGTCCCAGCTGCCCCACATGCAGGCCGCCAGGGGCTCCCTGGCAAACCACACCTCCATCGCGGAGCTCATCAAAGATGTCACCAGTGAGTATCTTTTCACCGCCGCCCTTGGCAGCACACTTGTGGGTGGGTGTGAATTGCCAGCTGGACAACCGGCATGCTAACCGCTTGTAGTTTACATTCCCCGGGGAGCAATTCGAGCCCCCCTACCCCGCAACTCCCTGCAGAATTGTTAAGGCTAACATGGGGGGAGTATTATGAAAGAGCTCGGAAAGGGGTGTGTTAGACTGGAAAGGCAGCACCTTCGTGGAAGCACCAATTGTAAGGGCTGTGCCCCGTTTGACTTAGGAGACTCCAGAGCTTCGACGAAACTCAGGGTTGGCAAGTAAGACCTCAAGTCGGGTGTGGAGAGAAGAGAGACCTGTGGACATTAAATGGAACTGGGTGACAGCGAAGAAATGCCCTGGGGAAATGGGCACTGGCATGGGTGCCAGGCTCTTTCTGCCAATGCCAAGCTCTGGGTTTGGCCCCTTAGTAACATGTATGTCAAGGTCATTAAGGAGCTCAAGGTCTAGAGGGTTTTTGTGTCTCCCGAAAGCTTTTGGATTTTATTTTTTTAGTCTGACCTGTTGCTTGCCTGCTTTGTTGCGTGTTTCATGTGTACATCACGGCCTATGTTTGAAAACCTATACGTGACCGGACGTTACTGGGAGAAATTCCACAGATCTTTCCTCGGCTAAGTTGCAAATTTGCCTATTGCGTTTTAGCCTCCGAAGACTTCTTTGATAAGTTAACTGTGGAGCAAGAGTTTATGTCTGGAATCGACACTGATAAGGTACGTGGACCATAGATGAGTTCTGACAGGTGATTGATAGCTTAGCCAAAGATGAGGCAGTTCCCCTCTGTCCTGTAGGGTCCCCGTGAGTCGTAATCAACTCCATGGCAGTGGGTTTGTGTTATTTTGATGGAGCCCAGAGCTCTTGTTGCTTTGGTTCCTGTGCCAGCGAGATTGTTTCCAGAGCAAAAGGTAAAGGTGGAGCTTTTTCAGCCAAATGGCCAGCATTTAAAGCTGCTCTCTGCATGGTTCCTGGAGGGGCGGGAGCCAGCCCCGAAGTCAAGGTCCTTGAAGGACTGGAATAGATTGAGATACTTGTGTATTAAAAGGCGGCTTTAATAACCCCCTTTAAATGCTGTTCATACATTGAAAATGAAAATGTGCGTTAAAATCCCCAGCTCCTGAGAGCGGAAAAACATGTCTTGTGAGTCACATTGGTGTCATTGTTGACATCCGCTGGGTCAGTCAGGCTCCAACACTTGGCAGCCACTGGGGAGGCTTTGCACAGAGCCAGACAAGTCAGGGCGGGCGCGTGGTCGCGTGGCTTCCCCAGCGGTGTCCTCCTGGCCCTGTTCCCTGGGCTGGCTCCTGGTGTGTTTGAGGGAGAGAGGTAATCATTGTTCGGTGCCTGCCCTTGAGACAATCCCGTGTGACAGAACTGAACAGCTCCCGAGTGTTTCTGACACTGTATGGGGTGCCAGCAGCCTTTCAGTGCTTAACCCCCTGCGTGACCAAGGCTCCTTTTCTCCGGGTCTAGGTCAACAATTACATTGAGGATTGCATTGCCCAGAAGCACCCTCTGATCAAGGTGCTGAGGCTTGTGTGCCTCCAGTCCGTGTGTAACAGCGGCCTCAAACAGAAAGTTCTGGACTATTACAGAAGAGAGATCCTTCAGGTCAGTCCTCTGTCCGATTGCTCATTTGCCGAGGAAGAAAGCAGTCTCTCCCCACCCTCGCCCCGTGCCCTTCATGCCCCCTCCAGCCCCGGAGGGAGGGCTGCTGCTCTCTGGTCGGTGTGCACTTGTCAGGGTGGGCACCTCACGCCAGGGGGACCCTTTCCTTCTGCCCAGTGTGCCTGCTGCTTCTGCTGTGTGTGGATGTTGTGTCGTGATGATCCGTTTCCAGTCAGCGATTCCTGCATACCGTGTCCATGCCATTGACTGCCATCCCGCAGTGCCGCCCCACTGTGCACATGTCCACCCTGGGCCCCTGCTGCCTCCTGCTCTTCCTTCCTGCCACCTGCTGCTTTCTGGGGCTTCTCGCTGGCCAGACGGCAGCCTGGGCGGTGGGCTGCTCTAAGGATTGCGTCCCTCTCCCCCCTCCCTCCCAGTGCGAGTGTCCACC